TAACTTATATCCTAAGATACCTTTAAATTTGCTATCCGTAGTATGTCTATTCCATTTGCATGCTACGTCTTACGTCTGTACAAGCACTTTGCGCTCATGCTAAAGCAAATGGCAGTGAACTTGAGACCTAACTGTTAACTCGTACTCATCCTAAAAATTCCACAGTGTGTCTTCACACCTAGGAGGTGTTTAAGGAAGGTCAGAGAAATGACATATGTTTATGCTGTTACAGATTTTCACTGAAAATATCTGTAAAGTTGATCTTCTGCTTGGAACTCACTGTCTACAAATATTCTAGTCGCAGCTTTCCAAGAAAATGCTATTCTAATTGAAGGATGTTTCTTTCGCGAGATGTCAACTTTTCCAAGCCCAAAATATGACATTAAGATCCCACGCTTCTGTTTACATCAAGACTAGACTCGCAGCATTTGCTTGACAAACGAAATATTTTTTCTCCAAGGCTATAAAATATCACAGCTAACACAATTCAGTCACCAAGCTGTCACATTTGGAAGTTTGCACTTAACAAACTGGACCTATTGTTTACAGGATTTGAGTGAGGAAATCACAGCGCCTATTCACAAACTTATTCTTACTGAAAGCCCACTTACCTCTGTTTTCGTGCTCTATAACAACATTTACGACTTCCGAATGTTGGTTTTTTCCTTACATTCTCATCAGCTACCGTTTTTCTAGGTATATCTAACGTTAAGGTGGCGTAAGTCAGTGGATGTTCGTGTCAGCGATCTAAAAGCTCTCTGCTCATCATCTGCTCGCGACAACATCATGAACTGTCCTTCGTCGTCCTCCGACTCCATATTCCGGATCGAACTTCCGAACGGAAAAACCACAGTGATCTCACATGGAAATCAAGATCTTAAACAGTTGCTGGAGAAAGTCTGCATTAAGCTTGCTGTACAGGTACATATTTCTTCAAAATTGTCCTTTTTTGGATCTTATGTGGAAATTTCTTTTTGCAATTCGTTTTTGCAGCCGGAATTCTTCGAGCTTATTCGAGGCAACGATGGAGAATGGAAGCTGCTAATGAGGGAGGAGTATGAGGTGGAAAAGAGGCACGCAAAGCTAGGACTCACCATCTACGCGTATAATGACAACGGCGTCATCAAAGCAGAGGTTTTTCCTATTCCGCAAGCTACTGAATGCGCAGCAGAATTTAAATGTAAAGACGGAGTGATAAGACGTTCACAAGTTTATGGCCAAAAAAAGATGTAGCTTGGTCAGCAGGCCATGGAATTGGCCCTAAAATTAGCTAAAGCTGCTGTTGTCCTAGAATGGACAAAAAACAAAGTACGAACATGTTTTGCAGTAGGTTGTCGTTGTGAGCTAGTAAGAGAGCTATTGTCATTTAAGATTTTTTTTTTTGCAGTAAGAAA